GTTATCAGTCCCTTGTCTGAGGCATATTTAACAAAAATATTTTCCCATTCTGAGGGTTGTCGGTTCACACTTGTTACTGTGTCCTTTGCTGTGCAGAAACTTCTTAGTCTAATATAGTCCCACTTGTCTATTTTAGGGATTATTGTCTGTGCTTTGGGAGTCTTATTTAAGAAGCCTTTGCCTACTCCAATGTCTCCCAGAGTTTCCCCACCATTTTCCACCAGTAGTTTTATTGTTTGAGGTCTTAGATTCAGATCTTTGATCCATTTTGAGTTGATTGTTGTTCCTAACAGTTCTATTTTAAAGATTAAAATTTCATCGTAGGGAGCAACTGTTAGCAGACAGTGGGAAACTTGTTGAGTGCCCCAAGGATGAGAATAACCTTTCGGTCCAGCTCTGCCTGGATGTGCTTTTCAGGTCTCTGACCAGTGAGACTTTCATGAGAACAGACTGAGAAAATTAAGAAAAATGTTGATTCAGAGCGTGACTATCTAGCATAGGACACTAATTGGTAGCCAGCCACGTGGCAGTCCTGCAGCAGGCCCTTGTTTTCAGAAAGTCTTCCTTCCTCTTTTTTTTCTGGTGTTTGCTTTCAAATTTCCAAATGTTCCTTCCTTCCAAGTAGGAGGAGTCAGCTTGATGTAACTGTGTCACATTTCTCTAGAAGATAAGTGACTTGGGAACAGCAGACGCAGCCCACATGATCTGTGTTCTTTCCTCTGACTCCCCAAATCCTCCCGCTCTAACTGTCCCTTTCCCACTTGGGTTCTATTTATTTGGTCTTCCCTGTGAATGATCCTCCTATTTCTGGACTTCATAGCCCTCAGAGGGCTTTGGTGCTTTTCTGAGTTTAATTATTGAACCACCAGTTGATTTTTCCAAACTTTTTAAAAATTACTTTTCTTACTTCTTTTTTTAGAGAGAGATTTCTGCTATAGTGTGCATGCACTTGCTGGAGAGACAGAGTAAGAAATCACCCCCCAGGGGGATTGCCATGCTCCAATCCCTTCTCCTCCATTCACCTCTTGGGATTTTAGGCACACATGCACATATGCCCAGCATGAGTTTCAAGCTGCCAGATCTGGAATTTGAACTACAGTCAGCCATGTGGGATTCTAGCACCTTAACCACTATGTCACCTGCTGCCTTCCAGACATTTTATTATCTATTTTTTGAGCAAGTAGGAGGATAGTTTACCAAACTCAGACTTTCCCAAGGTATTCTGCTTATAACATAAGAACATCTTGTAATTATTAAGTTCAACCACAGAGAAACTCAGTGCACATTATACATATAATGTATTTCCACATGTAGAGATCTCCAAGGGAGGCCAAACATTTCTCACAATTCATGAGGGTCTTGTTTGTAGTGGAGCTTTGCTTAGGGGAAAAGTGACCATTCCTTTTAGTGGTCAAACAAGATCAGCACTTTTCAGTCACAGGCTTTTTCTACTCTGCCTGGTGGAGGCACTGGGGTGATGAGATGGGGCAATCCCATGGTGAGTTAGCCTCACAGGAAGCATGTGCTCATGAGCAGGGGTAGGCAGGGAGCCATGGTGAAGATGGATTCTGCTCCTGCCTCTTGGTCCTGTGTGGTCACTTGCTTCTAAGAAGTACTGAATTGGATGGGAAGGATAGCAATAGGCTTGGCATATTTCAATTGTGTTTATTTTTGAAAGGATATTTGCCCAGATGCCCATAACAAATACTCCAGATGTTTAGAAGGTATATAGAGACAGTGAGATTTTTACCCCCTACCAGTGACCAGTTTTAGTTTTCCATTTTGGAGGCAACCATATTCCCAGCTTTTTGTATTTCCTTCTGAGACATTTAGTGTTTTTAAGCCTGGTGTGTGTGTGTGTGTTTGTGTGTGTGTGTGTGTGTGTGTGTGGTCCCTCTTTTTCTTTCTTTCTTTTTTATTTTTTAGATGAGTTGTAGCACTCTGTAGACACTGTATCACTTTATTCTATTTTCACTTAATGGCCTATCATGAAGATAGTTCCATAGCTGCACACAGGGTTCTGCCTCCCACTTCTAAGAACTGTATGGGGACACCATGGTTGATTTATCCCATGCTTAACATTCAAATTGATTTTGGTCTTTCGTTCTTAAATAATATTGCAGTGAGATATCCCGAATGTAATTTTTTGTCCACATGGACATCTGCGAGGTAAATTCTTCAACATGACATTGTGGGGCTGAAAGACCTATTGTTTGTAACCTTGAAAGGTGTCACTGAAGGGCCATGGTGAGACAGGCTGAGCACGCCTTTAAAGTGCCCTGGTTCTCTGCAGGTTGTACCAGTCGGTGAAGCTGCTCTACTCCATTGGGATCTTTTTCACCTACGCGCTCCAGTTCTACGTCCCGGCTGAGATCATCATTCCCTTCTTCGTGTCCCGAGTGCCCGAACACTGCGAGTTGGTGGTAGACCTGTTCGTGCGCACAATGCTGGTGTGCCTGACATGTGAGTAGCAGACGTGAGAATCGCTTTGCTTCTTTCCCCCAAAGGACACCCGGTCCCCAGGGCTTGCACGAGAGAGAGAGAGAGAGAGAGAGAGAGAGAGAGAGAGAGAGAGAGAGAGTTGTAGTGAAGATGCCTGTGCTGCATGAGCAGAAAACCTGGCACATCTTACTTGGAGGTGAGGCACATCCGGATGGTGACGTGAATATGTGTACTCTAAAGGACACGGAATGAGGACAGTAGTTTACCATGTGGCATAAAGTGCTGTGGATGTGGTCATCCCTCAGAGGAAAGATCTACTGTACAATTCCTGTCCCACATAAAATATGAGTAAAGTCTAAAAGAAAGCCTTTAACTCATATCTATAGTGTAGGCTTTAGGTTACTTCAATAGAGGGTGCATGTTTGTTTTTTCAAATACTTGTTTTTCCTTGGCTTTAATTTTCTTTAGATATCTAGACATTAAAAAACATTATTTATTTATTTAGAGAGAAAGAGAGAGAGAGAGAGAGACAAGGACCCCAACAGGGTCTTCTTCTGCATTAATCCAGCCCTAGAGCACATGTGATTGCCAGAGAAAGAGAGAGCCAGCCCTAGAGCCAGGCAGGATCACAGTCACACCCATGTTTGGGTTGACCCAGGCTCTATACCTTGGACTTTCCATATGGTTCCAGTACTGCACGGTTCCCTACTACCTATGCCACTGCAGCTGGGCTTATTATAAACACTATTTTAGATCAGTCTTACTAAAGAGGCCTCTTTGAAAAATTCTGTTGATCAACCTGCTTGGTTTATTACTTGGTGTTTTATTCTTCTTCCCCTGACCTTCCTGTTAAAGGATGTGGGTTAAAAGAAAAGATAGTGGACCAAGATAGTGGCTTGGTGGTGAAGGCAGCCAGGTCCCCCATGGCCAACCTCTCAGTTTGAATCCCAAACCCGGTGGCTGGAAAAATACACTGGATGCATGTGTGTGTATGCCCTAAATTCTGTCGGGGTAAAGAAATGGAGAAGGGATTGTAGCCTGCCATTAGGGCAAGTGCTTTCGCCCTCTCTCTGGCAATCACATATGCCCTCTGGCGAATTAAAATAAATAAATAAATAAATAAATAACTAAATAAAAGACAGGGCCAGCCTGTGGTGTATTGGTTAAGGCAGCTGAATCCCACATAGCTGACTGTGCGATGTGAGTCCCAGACCGAGCAGCTTGAAAACCATGCTGATCATCTGTGATGCATGCCTAGAACCCTAAGAGCAGAGTGGAGGAGAAGGGATTGCAGTGTGGCCATCTGCCCTGGGTGGGGGGTGATGCTTTCTCTCTCTGGCAAGTGCATGTGCCCTGTAGCAAATTAAAACAAAACAACAACAACAAAAAGCAAGATATCAGCCTTTTTGCTGTTGGCTGAAAAATTGTGTAAATGTAAATATATATATATTATGTTTATAATATATATAATATAACATATATATAATATGTATGTATATATATTGCAGCTTCTGTGAGTCGGTAGACTAGAGACTATATTATATATAATATATAAATTGTAT